TCTAGGACAACAATTAGCTGCTTTCAGTGAAATGATGGAAGCTGCTTGATATTAAAGCAATTGTAAACCAAAAAGTTTGGATACCTGAAAAAACAAATCCCGGTGGTAACTCTCTGTTGGTGGCATAAGAGCATCTATGAATACATGTTTGTTAATCTTCCAAACTCGTAAATAGCTAAATAGATCTGCTAATTCGTCAAGGGCCTTGCGTGCAGGTTTATCTGCATTAGAATGGTTCTACTGGATGAGACATTTCCCCCCCCCCCCCCCCCAGTGATTCAAATGAATGATATGAAATATTGATTAAGGATAACATACCAGCAGGAAGGGCACCTCTCAATCTGGGAAGGGCCTGATCTGCAACTCCACAGAACCTTAATCCGACAGTCTGCAATCTATTTACAGCAGCTTCTGGAAGATTAAGTTCCTGATAAAGAATGCACAAAAAGAAACTATAGATATTTCCATTTGTCATAGAATAGCAATACAACTGAATTTGTAAAATTCCACTACAACTGTTCATGACATGTCTAGATGTGGTAAATAATCATTCACCCAGAACAGTATTTGTGTGATACCAACCAAATGTTTCACCGGAATAATTAAAAGCATACTGATTCATTCAGGAAAAGGTAGAAACATATCTTTTTCCCAGTAAACTCGTGAGTTATGAATCAATGGCCAGAGTTTTATGACACAAATGTTTAGTCAATCCTGGTAAATATGATGAGCACTAACAATGTCAATAATTTGTAATGAATAGCAGAGCTGACTTACTCATTTCTGCCCTCTCACACGAATCTCATCACCTGTCATCCTACTTGGGATATTCTTTAAGTGACAGAATATAAAAGACATCCAGAGGATAACACTTTGGCCAAGTAACATGCTTTTATGTACCCCTACTATCCACCTACCCACGGGACGGAGAAGTCATGGCCCTGGACCATACAATTGATGGTGACTTAAACCATGCCTCCATTTTACCTCCCCCCCCCCCCCCCTTTCTCTCTCCCCCCTCTTATGTGCACTCAAAGCCACTCTTCCCAAATACTAGACAGAAAAAAACAAATTGACCGACTCATGATATCCAATTAACAACACTGCATAAGAATCCGTTTTTAGCTCCCTAGAAACATCCAATACTAACTGTTGGAGTTATAGACTAGTTTATTAGAGTTTTGCGTTTTTACCCATATTATGTCTTGTCTAGACCGGAGAGATGTTCAGGTCTTTATATACTATTGTTTGGTTATATATACAGGAACTCTACACTTAATTTGTATCTCTTTTACTTACAATTTTCTCTAGTTGGTATCAGAGTGAAACCCTACTTGCCATAAGTTTGATGATAAAGTGATTCGTTGTGTCATCAGTCTAAGGGATATCGGTGTTATGATCCTATCAGGCGCCGTATGTATTACAGTCTAGATGTTACCTTTCTTGAGCATATTCCTTATTTTTCTTATAGTATGATACCCCCTTTGATTTTCCGTTACCACACAAGCCAGAGCCATTCGTCACTGTCACACTAGAGTCATCAGCCTCTCCTCCTCCAAAGCCACTTGTCCTTACCAGTACAAAGTCTGTAAAACCCAGGTAAATTTGAACTTTTAAAAAAAATAAATAAATAAAGGACAAAATGGTAATTTGTCACTATAATGCGTATTTAAAATACTCATGTTCTAGACCTCAAATGAGGAAACGGAGTTGGCCGTTGGGTTCGTATCGCAAAACCTGGTCACCTTGTCAAACTTCGTTAAATTCCAAGATAGTTCAATTTTTACACGTCGTTCGAGGCAACTGTGTAGCAAATGACATTTTAAAGGTCCCCAAAAATAAATTTTATAAAAATTCCTTAAAATTAAGTTAGTTCAAATAAAATTAATTTGAACTTAATTCGAGATATAATGAATCGTTTCGGGACAAAAAATGGATCCGGAAGTCGAAAATAAGCGATGCAATTTGGACTGCACATTAAGGGGGTATAAATAGGGGCAAATATCTCAAAAAATCAGATATTTCTCACCATTTTTTAGTCTTGTTTGGCCAGCCATAGAGAGAAAAGAGAGAGAAGAGAGAAAGCTTTGATCTTCAAGCTTCTTTTTCCGATCCAAGAAGTTCCGTCGCTTGGATCAACTCGAACCAAGAGTTAAAGTCGATCACCGCGACAAGGGCTACGTCTACGTACCAAGAAAAGTGGATTTCACCGAAGAACCAAAGAAAAGATTTTGGAGAAATCAAGTTCTTAGGCTATTGTTGAAGTTTTTGGAAGTTCTATCATTTCCTTCACGCTACAAGAGGTAGGGTCATTCCTACTTTGATTTTATTCCTCTCCTTTGGGGCTGTTCTAGGGCTAGTTTAGGGACTGAAGTTATGGACTGCTAGGGACTGTTTTGGGATGAAATTATGGACTGTTTTGGGTAGAAAATAGGGACTGTTCTGGGATAAAATAATGGACTATTTTTGGACTATTTAGTGGCTGAAATGGGGCTGCATGTAAGCGTCCAAATGGACTGTTTTACGGACTGTTTTTAGGCTGAAATTGTGCCTTTGTGATTGTGTTATTGGCATAAAAATTGTGATAACATGCTTGAAATTATTTTATGAAAATCGTCAATGTATATACATGTTTGTGCTATATTGACATTATACATTGACATTGTGAAAAATTATGAGAATTATATGCTTATGATATAATTTTGTCATAGAATCTGTGAAATGTGTTAATATTGTTCATATATCTTTCATAGCATAATGAATATGTTACCATTGTACAATGGGACATCATATTGCATATGCACGGTAACATTGCATTATATGGGTGTGTGCATGGTTGTCGCCAACACCACACTTGAAGGATGACGAGTAGACTCGATTAAGCTTAGTCGAAGACCTGGCCGATTCGCACGGGTTGCATGGTAATTAGGGTTAGGGTTAACAAGAAGGGACTAGAAGATCCCTCGGGTGCAAGGCCTGGTGATTGGGATACGCACTCCCTTGGCTTGGCCGATGAAGTGTGTGGGTGTACGCGGAGCCCTTGGTGGAAGTCCATAAATTCCGAGTAGATTGGAGACCCTTGGTGTAAGCCCATGAACATCCACCCCATACAAAGACCCTAGATTGGTAAAAGTCATTGATGTGCAACATAAATGACAATTCCATACACATTGGCACTAGCATGTGTTGAGGAGCTGGGAAGGGCTCGGGTTGATGTTCATGAGTGAGTCACATCTCATTTCAAGGCATGACATGATAAATTACAACATTGAATGCATATTCTCACTTGGAATATTGATGTGAATATGAATGTTGTATGTGAGCATTGCATGTACACTTAGGTGGGGAGTAGCCTCTATAGGAATTACTCTACTGGACGTAACTCACCCTATACGGAAAAACATTTCAGGTGCTGGATACACAACGGTGGACAGCCCTCACTTGGATCCTCAAGGGTGAGAGAGGCCGGATTGTAGCCTTTAACCTTGGTTTATGTAAAACTATATTTTGGGCATGTAATGTGTAAAAGAATTGTAACTGAGTTTATATGGACTGTTTTAATATAACAGTGCATATTTTTGTATGAGTATGGATAAATGGACCCGGTGTGGTCAATGTTTACTTTTAAATAGACCCGGTGTGGTCAGTATTGTATATTGGACCTCGGATGGATCATGTGATTATATAATTACAAAGGTTGTGTTTTGGATAGAGTTCCCTTTATAAAGGAGACTCTGCCCGAATTTTTGTTAAATTATGGACCCCGGTAAATAGGACATAATGGCGTGAAATCGAATTACTCGGTATCCACGGGTATTCCGCGGGTTGATGGGTAATCAACGGACCCCCGTATTTTGGGGTGTCATAGCTTGGTATCAGAATATAGATATATGAATAACCTAGGGCTTGATGGGCATAGGTCTAGACCATATGCATTTCATGTTATGTGCTCTACTTGCTACATGCTGTGTCACTTGTTCTGTTAATTATATGCATGGTAAAAGGTATATGGAAAGAAGAAACACTAGGGTTAGAAAACATAACCTTAGACTTCGGAAAAGAATGAACAGGATGGTTCGGGGCGTTAATGTCTATTAGTGGTTGACACATGCTCTATTAGTTAAATAAGGAGAGAAATCTCAAAGTTTAAACTTGATCACTATTTTGGGATACTATGTAAGACTCTATTGTTATCTGACTTATGTAGATGGCTAATCGAGGAAGAGGACGTTGAGGCGGTGGACGGAACAACCAACCCCCACCGGCCTTTGACCAACAAGCCTTAGTGGAGGCTATTGGTGCTGCAACTACTATAATTGCACAAGCTAGTGCTACAGCTGCTATCATTGCACAGGTTGGTGCAAGTGGGAGTCAAGGAGGCTCGAGTCACCTCCAGAAATTCAAGGCACACCAGCCTCCGATCTTCAAGGGAGGGGCGGATCCAATGGTAGCTGACCATTGGTTCCGGCAAGTTGACAAAATCTTGAAGGCTATGGAGATCACCTCCAACGCCACCAAGATAACACTAGCAACATTTCAGCTAGAAGGAGAATCCCAGGTGTGGTAGGATTGGGTCAAGGACTCAAAGAATTTGGAGACCGTGACTTGGGTAGAGTTCAAGGAGCTTGTTATGAGCAAATATTTCCCCGCAGCTGCTAGACATGCAAAGGTCCAGGAGTTCCTAGACCTCAGATAAGGGACGATGACGGTGATGGAATACGTGGCTAAGTTCGCAGAATTAGCCTGTTTCGCTGACGACTATATAGCCACTGATATGGCCAAGGTGAGAAAGTTCGAGGATGGCTTGAAGTTGTCCATCCGAGGCAAAATTGTGTGCCTCCTATAGCAAGACTTGGACTCGATGGTCACGACAGCTATGGCCATTGAGAGGGAGGTAGAAGATGCACGGAACATCCGGGAGGCGGGTGTTAAAGACAAGAAGAAGGAGGGCCACTCCTCTTCTTCTAGTGCTGCGAAGAAGCAGAGGACTTCTGCTCCGCAGGGGCATCAAGGGCAAAGCCGCGGCTATCAAGGCCAAGGCCAAGGTCAGCCCCCCAAGGCGGGAGAAACTTCAGGACTACGTATCAGGCAGGTCAAAAGACTTGCTATCATTGTCATCAGTCGGGCCACATGAGGAAAGATTGTCCTCAGCGACAGGGATCCTAGTCCCAGTCTTCAGTGGGGTACTCACAGACACACTCTATTCCTCCCTACCCCATCATGGGCCAGGGGAGCCAATACCAGTTTCAAGGCGCTGCACAGGACCCTACTACTTCACGAGAGGGGATTCCGCAAACAGGCCAGGGCATGGGTCGAGGTCGAGGTCGAGGCCAAGGCTCACAAGCCGGGACTTCGGGAACCCAGGGGTGTGTCTACGCCATGATACCACAGACTGAGCCGGCAGATCCATCGATGATACTAGGTACATTTCTACTCTCTCGCTTATGGGCAAGAGTATTATTTGATTCATGTGCGTCTCATTCTTTTATTTATGCATCTTGTGTGAAAGACTTGGGCTTAGAGGTTGAAACCTTGGAAGAGCCATTGCATGTGAGTTCTCCCCTAGGAGCTAAGGTGAGCGTTGATCAGATATGTCGGGGTTGTGAGTTAGAGATCTCGGAGATTCTACTCATCGTGGACCTTAAGGTCATGGACATATCGGAGTTTGATGTTATCCTTGGTATGAATTGGTTGACGGCACACCGAGTCGTCATTGATTGTGATCGTAAAAGGGTCACTGCCTATACACCGGAAGGTGTTTGTTTCAAGTTCTAAGGGAAAAGCATGATGCTTTACCCCAAGCAGTGTACAATTCTCGATGGCACGAGCAGTTGATGAGTTGACTTGCGAGCCTTACTCTGGAGGATGAGGTGAGACAGGAGTTGGGTCCATACACATTGGTACTAGCATGTGTTGAGGAGTTGGGAAGGGCTCGGGTTGA